AAAAAAAAGAACTGCACTAATATCAGTAGCGGTTATCCATTTTTTTCTCTTCTGCATCTTCCTACGCTAGTGTAATATAGCACCAAAATAGGCAATTCTCGTTGTAGCAGCACCATCAACAACAAAAACATCGTCGAGTAGAGAGAGAGAGAAAGGAAGATAAAATCGGGTGCTCTTTTCCTGGTAATCATCTATTGTGGTAAGCTACTTGTGCATAGTACACATACACGGTCATCGTCGTATATTATTTATCCAAACTCCAACAATGACAGACGTAAGTGATGATATTTAAAAGAAAAAAAAACAACAAGCTAAACTTTTTATTTCCTCATCATTCTAAACTGAATATTGAAAAAAAAAAAGCTCACTAAAATTCATAAAACAGAAGCCATATTCTAGAAAGAAGAAGTAAGTTTTTATCATCTTGTGCATAACCTATACATATTCTTTCTATTCATATAATTTTTACACACACACACACAAAAAAAAAACAAATTATTCTTTTTTCTTTTTTGAATTTCATTTCGCATGACAAATTTTATTTCCTCAAAATATCATCGATTATTGATGAATACATATATATATGATTTCATATTTGCACAGAAGATAAATTAATAAGTTTATTGTTTAATTAAACATTAAAAAACAAAAAATAACGAATATATATATTTTTTTTATTAGAAAAAAATGAAAAAGAAGGCTCAACGTGCCACAAGTAATGTTTTTTCAATGTTTGATCAAAAACAAGTACAAGAATTTAAAGAAGTATATATATATATTTTATACAAGTTTTTTATTTAAAAAAAAAACAAAAATAATTTTTTATCTTGTTTTAATTAGGCATTTAATCTTATGGATCAAGATCGTGATGGTACAGTTAGTATGGATGATTTAAAAGAAGTATATGCTTCACTTGGTAAAGCACCAAAAGATACAGAATTAAAAACTATGCTCGAAGAAGCTCAAGGTCCAGTTAATTTTACAACATTATTAACTTTATTTGGAGATCGATTAAATGGTACAGATGAAGAAAATGTTATATTAAATGCTTGGAAAAATTTTGATGGTGAAGGAAGTGGACAAATCAATCAAAAAGGGTTATTTAATAAATACAAAAAAAAAAAGAATTTATCATATATAAAATTTTGTCTTTTTTATATTATATTTTAGTTTACGAGATGTCCTTACAGGTGAAGGACGTCCTGAAGATCGTAAGTATTTGACTAAAAGAAAAAAAAATATATTAACTGCTTCTTTGTTTTTTTTTTTATTTTGTAAAGGATTGACCGATATGGAGGTATGAATTTATTTTCCTAATTTTTCAATTAATAATTTTTATTTTATAATTTTAGTTCAGTCAAATGCTCGATGGTGCTCCAATAGATCCAAAAGGCAATCTTGATTATGCTGCATTTACTCGACAGATTAAACGTGGCAAAGAAGATGAATAAGATCCTAATGACTAAATTTCAATTAGACTTATTTTTTCTTTACCCTTATCTTATATACCTTTCTTTTTTTTTTCTTCATCTGTTTAAACATCTAATACTAATAAAATAAATGTGAAAGTCAACCCATTGAATTCATAGTATACGGAAGAAGAAAACAAAAAAGGATTTTCAAGTGTTTCAATGCAATAAACAATAGTAGCCAAGTGTTTGATTACTAAATGCTTAAATCAATAGTTTGTCTATATATGTAATCAAGAGCATTAGTAAATCAGCATTATGATATCAACAAAAAAAAAAGAAAATTTTTTGAGAACTTAAAAAAAAAAATTGAAAATTTATCTTTTGAAATTGGATATTTGTTATTCATATTTAGTAAAAAAACATTTAACTAAAACATACGTAAGTAAAAATTTATATATAGAAATAGACAATTGTACTTGTCTTTTACAATAAAATAGAAATTTATTTAAATATTTTTAAATTATTCATTTTATGTGTATCATTATTGATATATATTTAATTTATCAAAGTATAAAAAATTCATCTCTTTTTTTTTTACATTTAAAACTAATCAATAGAAAATTGCAATCATCAACAAACTTTTTAGATTTCATCGTCTTTTTTCATTAACTAAAAGTTCGGCGCAATACGGATTTATTAATGTATGTCTCTATAAGGCATTGTTTTTGTTTGATTTTGCTTCTAGTTCTTGAAAAAAAAATAAAAAAGAGCTTGAAACAAACCGATTTTTTTTCTCACTTTATTGACATCTGAAAAAGTATCACAAAAACACATCAGTTTTGAATTATATATTAATTCTTAATAAATCGAAATTTTTCAGTTCAAACTCAATTTCAATTGGTATTTACATAATAAGAGAAATTCTGCAAATGATTAGTCAATTTTGAGTTCATGTAGATACTAATGAATTAAAAATATTCTACAAATAGTTCGTATATTTTAATTTATTATTGTGAATATTATCATGGTATTCATTTAAAAAATATAGTATTTCGACTCAAAAATGATTTAATGAATAACATTTTTTTTTGGTTATCTTAGCATAATTCTCAGAAGTAAGACAGATGAATTTTTTTTTTGTTGGTAAGGTATTGGAAAAAAAAAGAAAAACTTGATTAACATTTTGACTGTTTTTCTAATATTTAAAACTTGTACATTTTATTCTTTAGATCTACAAACTTGAGAAAATTATTATATTATATCAAAACACTTATTACTTATCGATATCAATGCCAATATCAAGTGGTTTTAGTTTTTATAAGGATATTATTCCAATACATGAACGACAACGTATTGTACGACCACAAATCTATTCTCGTACATCCAAGGTAAATTTTATTTTATTCTATCCTTATGTGTACATGTTTATATTTTTCATCAATTGCCTTTTTTATTCATTTATTTCAAACAAAAAAAAAAATTATTAATAATTCTTTAAAAGAACAAGAAGAAAAAAGAATTCAGAATGAGAAAAAATATATATGTGTATTTTTTTTCTTGTGTTACATCTAACAACAACCGTCAAATAGAAACATCGAGTAATTTGAAAACAGACATCGAATAAAAAAAAAAGGAAAGGAATTACTATACTAGTAGTTAGACAAAATATTTTAATATAATAAAAAAAAAGAAAAAAACGAGAAAATAAAAAGAAGAGAAGAAAACGAAAGAAGAAAAAAAAAAAACTTTATATGTCACAAAGTTATCACGAGCAGTTTCAAGAGAATCGACGAAACAATAATCAGAATGGTTTATTCTCAAAGTCGAAAGCAACAGCAGGTAACAAATTACCAACACAACGACCAACAGCCGTTGTCAAACAACCAATACGTTCGGAGACATTTACATTGCCAACAAAACATCATGAAACAAATTTTAAAGTGCCTAAACTTAATCCACCACAAAATGGTTTCCGTCAACAACCAATTAAAAAATCTACCATCATAAATTCAACACCACAAATCGAACAAAAACCTATCGAAAAAATGCGTAGAAATGGTGATGTTCGACCTATAATGCGACAAAATAATTTATTTATGAATCAAGGAAATATTCAACGAAAACCTGTACGCTTTGCTAATGACTATAATAATACTTATTATTCTTCTTCTTCTAATTCTGCGCCTGTTCATTATCAAAAACCTGCACCTCTTGCTAATCCTTTACCTCGAGATGCTTTAAATAAATCACGACGTATGCGTATAGCCAATGATGAATATGTAATACATCGTCGAAAAGATTCACCTGCTGCTTATGCTTATAATGATTATCAAACGGTGAGTGATATACCAACTATTTCCTATGTTACTTCTTTACCACCTATTGATCAACGAAAAAATGAGACTGCTCCTACTGTCATTATTCATTCGAAAGAAACTCATCATTCTGAAACTCCTACAATTATTCCAACTATATCAATACCTCCTTCCTATGTTCCACCACCACCACCACCTCCTGCTCCCATTATGATTTTACCTTCGTCAGCAGCTCCTTCATATCCTCCTAATTCGACTATGTTTTTGCCATCTGCAACTGTTCCTTCATATTCTTCTATCTCTCCCATGATGTTACCTCTTACAACAGTTTCAACTCAACCTTCTGGACAAAATTTTTTTCTTCCATCTTCAACAAATCCTACCTATATGTCCCAACCTTTATTTTATCCTATTCCTCAATCTAATCCTAATCCTCCAGTATCGGCACCGCCATTACAACAACAAACTATTATAAGTCAATCATCATCATCATCTACATCAGCACCTGCAACACAATTAAAAACTGAGGAAAACAATACAACGTTTATTGTTCGTCCAAATACGAGTAATAAGAAAAATGTAACCATACAAGTGAAAATGATAGATGAGGTTTGCTTGTCTTTTTATATTGGTGAAGCTTTAATAGTTTCTTTTTTTTTTTTTTGTTTTTTTTTCTTATTGTTCTTTCATTATTGATACAATTTAGGATAATCAACGTGATAGAACAAGATCAGAACGAGTTGTACATAATCTTCCATATCGTGAAATTGATGATCGATATTATATTGAATCTGAACCAAAACATATTATTTATGAACAACCAACACGTCGAAGAACAATTCGTCGAAGACCACCACCACCAGCAACCGAATATATATATGTTGATGAATCACCATCAACTGTTGTTCGTCGTCGTCCTCATCGTTCTGAAGTTGTTTATGTTAATAATGAACAACCATTAGAATATGAAGAAGAAGTTGTTTATGTTGATGATAATGGTAATGAAATTGAATACATCTATGATGATGAACCTGCATATCATCGACGACATTATAGAACATCTCATCAACCAACATCAACAAGAATTGTTTATGAATAAAATACAAAAATATAAGAAAATTTATTTTGTATGTAAATGTTTTTTTTTTTTATTATTATTATTATAAAAAAAAAAGAAAACACCAAAAGAAAAAAAAAAAAAAACGTTGTCATCCAATAAAAATTCTACATTTCTATGTTTGTTTACAAAAATTAGAATATAAAAGTTAATTAATTAATGTTCAATATTATTTTTTTTATTTTTTCGATAACGTTTACAAATAAAATATATAATTATAAATATTAATAAAACAAATAGAATAATTAAAAATAATCCAATATGTTTTTTTATTTTCATTATTATTAATTCTTTATGACAACCACCATTTAATTCTGTTTGAAAAAATTTAATCCAAAAATTATACATGGAATCAAAATAATTAAGTTCATTATGAATATTATTTAATTGAAAAAATATATAATTATGTTCATTTGATGTATAAGGTTTCCATTCAATAGTAGAATTTTTTATTAATAATGAATCTATATTTGGATTTCTATTTTAAAGATCAAAATAATATAATTAAGTAAAAAACAAAAACAAAAAAAAAATAATAATAATATAATTAACTAACCCAGTTTTAATAAAATTTGTCCAATAACGAATTAATTGTCGACTAAAATTTTCTTCATCATCAGAATAATTATAATAACTTATATTAACATTTCTATGTATTTGACGATAACCACGTGCCAATGGAACACCAAATACATAATCTAATTATACAAAGATAAACATTAAGGAAAAATAAAATTTTCAATAGAACTTCTTATTAGATTTTCTTGATCAAAGGCGTAACCAGGCTTCCAGATTAGGGAGGGTCTAGTGCCTCAAAACTTGAAAAAAATGTCCGACTTTCTGCGAAAATTTCTTATACTTTCTGCCAAATTTTTGAAAATTTCATAGTAATATCTGGCCGAAACTCAGTTTTTAAGCACTAATCACCATTTTTCTGGTAGAAAGTCGATCAAATTAGCATTCGTTGTTCAGTTTCTGTCGAAAAGTCAGGTGGGACACTTTCTCCCGAATTGTTAGCCTGTCCCACTTTTCAAAACAATCGGGAATCCTGGGCGTAACTGAGAAATGTAGGTGGGAGATATTATATTCTGTCATCCGTAACTTACGTCTCTATTCTCGATAGATAATCGTTTTGTTTAAAAAAGAAAAAAGGTAAACTTTTTTGTATGTTTGTACTTTATATAGTTTTCATTATGAATAAAAAAAAACGACGAAGTTCTTAATCACTTTCGAGTTGGAAATCTATGACTGAAGAGAGTTTAGATCTTTAGATTATAATTACTGTGATACTACGTCTTTATGATAGTTATTAAACGAACATCATAGTCTCCTTTAGAAAAACTGATTATAGAATTTCGTCTAGAAATTTTACATAGAGACAAAGTCTATCAGATTTTCTATATCTCGATAGTAAGAAGCTAAAGATCAGAATATTTTTCCGACTACTCATAGCTTATTTAATTCTACATCATGCCTGTTATCTTAACTCAAAAGCGATTTATCAGTTAAATCGGGATCATCTTGTTCACATATAGTTTTAATATTGACTTTATTTTCTAAGATGAATCGATAAAGATTAGCTTTAATGAACACGAGAATTTTAATGTTAAGCTTTAAATTTTATTTCGAATCTCTATAATATCTTTCAAATGATTAAACAATTCAATTTGTGAGATTAAATCATAATGGATCTTCTTTTTAAACACATTAATAAATCCGATGAAAGAGAAATATTTTCAATTGTTTTTCGAATTTAACATCTAGATAATATACATTTCTCTATAAGATGAACTAAGAATTACGAGTCTTGAAACAATTTTTCAGCAATAATCGAACTCTTAATGATAGTCTGAAAAATCACAAAGTTTTGAAAACCAAAAAAAAATTCTAATTTTTTTAAATCAGTAAAAAAATAAAACTTTTGATTTATTCATTAATAAATTATATTTTATTGATTATTTTTAAATATTTACCTAATTCAGCAAAATGTCCAATAACATGTGGTAATGTTTTTAAATGATCTCGAAATAAACTTCGTGCTTTAAATGTTGGTCGATGAGAATAAATATATGCATAATTTGATGATGTTTGATTTGAAATTTGTGTACGTAAATTTAAACAATGAACCATATGAAAATTAAACATTAAATCAGAAACAAGATCAATATAAAGTTTTAATCTCATTGTTATATTATTTTTTCCTAAATACAAAAAATAAAAACAAATCAAATATTTTATGTATTTGATTTTATTTTTTTTGTTATTTCTAGAGTCCTGCAACGGGGTCGGGTACCCGGCACCCGATCGGACCCGGAACTGTGGTCCGGGTACAAATTGTTACTTGATGAAATTAAAATAATAGTATATTTTGCCATATGAAATAAAAGTTTGAAAAGTGAATATAATTTTGACAATAACAATCAAGTGCTGACTATTTCAAGGCTGGGCCGGGTCCGGTTCGGTTCCGGGTGGAAGATGACCGGGTCCGGTCGGATTCCGGGTTTGAAAAAAATGAGCCGGGCCGGGTCCGGGTGCGAAAAGTAGTACCCGTGCAGGACTCTAGTTATTTCTTACCTGGATATTCATATCGTTTTCTTATTTCATTAATATAACATTTTGAAAATTGAAAATTTGCATTTATATAACGTTCAACATAATCTAATTTTGAAAATTGTTCAAGAACAATATATGGATCATAACTTAATACTTGTTCAACATGTGTTTTTCTATGTAATTTAATATCTTCTATATCATCTTCATCATAATCATAAATATCATCATTAATATTATCTTGTGTTTTAATTATATCTGGTGGTATAATAGCTGTTGAATTAATATTAATAAAACGTTTTTGTCTTGTTTTTAATTGTTTACCAATTGATGTTGATTGATTAGTTAAATCACTATAAAAATGTCCAATATGATATTCAGCAAAATAAAGACCTTCATTTAATGTAACACCTGTTAAAAGATCAATATTTTTATATATATCACTTTGTATAATATTTTCAATAGTATCATTTAAAAAATCATTATCAATAACAGGATATGGATTATCATCAGCTAAGAAAAATAATCAATAGAAATCATATTAGTACAAAAAAACAACAATAACAAAGAATATTTTGCTTTTTTCATACCAATACTAAGACTTAAATGAAGACGATAAAAATCTCCTTTATTATCTTGTAATAATTTATGAATACATTGAAACATTTCTGTTTCATTTAATTGTGCACAATTAAATTCATGTGATAAACGTTCAATTAATTTTTTTGGTTGATGATTTATACTCCATGGTGCTAAACCTGTACCTGATTGTGATATAATACGTTTAATCATACCACGACAATATTGACTAGCTAAAAATATAATATTAAAAAAAAAAAGAGAAAAGAAAATACAAATAATTTTACCTGGAATTAACATAACATTTCCAGCACCAGCTGAATGACCTGCTAAAACAATTCGTTTAGGATCACCACCAAATAAATGAGCATTTTCATAGATCCATTCAACAGCTAATAATTGATCCCAAAGACCAAAATTACCTATTGAAAAATAAAAATATATTGTTGTTGTCTAACAAACTGGATAAAGTTAATCAATAGATAATATATCGAAAAGATCAATCAGAGAAATTAACATCTATTTAACTGTATTTCATATTTTAATTCTACTTTTATTCGATACATATATATATATAAATTATTTCGTATTTTTCTATAACTAGATATTATTAAAATGTCTAATGTTCGAAACCAAATGAATAAATTAATCATAGTGATTATCATATTTATTCAGAGATTGTTTCTCCTAAGATTATATCGAGAATTAATCTGTAAAAACAAGATAATAAAATATCACTGTAAACAATGAACGCTATTAATACAAAAAGATTAAAACTATCTAATAACTCCTCACTAACAAGATTGTTTTACTGAATAAAACAAAATGTTATAAAAATTAATAACAACATAAATAAAATATTTTTTTAATTATTAACTAATGTCTCATAATGAACAGTCATTTATTATTTTTTTTTTGCATTTCTTCTTTTGTATTTGTATGCGACTAATATTCGACATTGCAAATAAGACGATTTTTCAGATGAACGATCAATTCATTACTGCAAATCGATAGAAAACTAAATATCCTACAAAAAATTATGATGTAGGTAGGTCTATCTAAATACAATCTCTTTCGCATATGCAATATGAACATAAATAATTCCTTCGAAATGATGCCATCTATTTAACAAGGCAATGTCATACTACATACACACAAGAAACCACTGAATTAGTCTGGAAAGAATTTTCATACATTTTTATAATTCAACATAGATAACTATCAAACAGTTCTGATCTGAATTTTCTGGTTGATTACATATGAGATGTTATCGTTAATAATCTGCAATATGCTAAAGTTAAAAAAAACAAAAACTACGCTTCTGTAATTAATCAAATAAGAAACTATATTCTTTATGTATCAAAAAATAAGATGAAATACATATATTTCTAATACCTTTGATTCGATCATCTCCACTAGATAAAAATCCATGATAATTTAAACGAAAATTCATTGTTACAACAATAATATCACCTTCACTTGCTAGAATACTTCCATCAAATAATGAACCACCACCAATTTGATTTGAACCACCATGTGAAAATAACATAATAGCTTTTCGTTTTTCACCATAACGTAAATCAGCTCTATAGATATTTAATGAAAGACAATCATCATTAAAATTATTTTGCATTACAAATGAACCATATGAAAGATTTTCAGTCATTAATAATGATTGCATACAATATGGACTATATTTTGTTGCACTTTGTATTGAATAATTAAAACGTTTTTTTATTGGTTTTTCAAGTGATTGTGGAATTTCAGCATAATAAATACCAAGAAATTGATCAATATAACGATTATTACGATATTTTATTCGTTTACCATGATAAATACCTGTTGAAGCAATAAGATATGGTCGTTGTAATGAAATTTTTTTTTGTTGTGAAATTTTATTATATGATGCTAATTTAAATAAATATTCATTAGTTATACTTATTGTTGAAAAATTAGCTTGTGTTTCAGTTTTTTTACATATTATAAATGTACATGATGGTAAAGTTGAATTAAATGATAATTGATTAACAATACGTTCAAATGAAGGATAAAGAATAATTGAAGAAGAAGATGAATATGTAAAATGAATTTGGAATAGAAGAATAAAAAAATAAAAAATTAAACTTATTATTTCATCAAACATTATATGATTAAATTTTTTCTTTTCATAAACATTGATCTAATAATAATTCAAAAAATAAATATTTATCATTAATAACAAAATATGACATTATCATACGTACGGTCTAAAAAATGCAATATCTTAATTCATTTTCTTTTTTTTCTTTTTTTTTTTACTTCTGTCTATAATTGATTGTTCTGAGACTGGCTGCTTGAGTGAACACCTACAAAATACATATATAGAATTGACTGAGATAATAACAATGAGATAGACGACAAACCCATTAGACATAAGTATAAGAAGAAATCAAAGAGTAAGAAAGAAAAAAAAAAAAAAAAGAGAAAGTCTGTTCTTCTAATTACTTGAGACCTTTTGTTATTGACATGTAAAAGAAAGAGAGAAATGGACGATACTCTATTAGTACCAAAAAAAAAAATCGTTCCATCATACAAACGACATTCTCTATGCTATGGCAGAGTTAACAAAAGGTCTTCGAAATGGCGACTCATCTATATCCATTCACGTAATGATGAATCAAAATAATACAAGCATAAATAGCAAAGAAAAAAAAAAGTCATGCGTAAAAGCAAAGACGATAACCTCGGAAATATAGGCACCTGATACTAATCGATTTGATCATGCCAAAAAAAAAACAACATACTGATTGATGGACTTCTGTTTTTTTTTTTGTCCTGGACTACATCAATTAGTTAAAAGATCTATTCTGTTATATTGCTTGATTTGATAACGTCAACACATTGATTTATACCGATATTTTATGTACCAAACATAATGTTTAGTTGATAAATCTGGTATACATACATATATAATGATAAATCGATAGTCAAATAAATCTGTTAATAGCTTATCAAAGAAAGTTTACTTAGTTGTCTTCATCAAATACTATTCAATACTTATTAATATATCATATATAGGTTTTCATTTTATTTGACAAAACAAAAAAAAAAAAAAAAGATGCTTTAAAATTTTGTTCAATTTGACATTTTTATTGTCAATATATGGCATTTATTTATTTTTAAAATATCATTATTATCTTTGAAGATACGTAAAAAGAAAGAAAAGAAAAAAAAGATTTTGGAATAGTTTATAAGTATATTGTAACAAACATTGAGACAACAAAAAAGAAGAAGAATATTGATCAAACAACACTGAAAATATACCTACAGAGCTGTACATCAAAAGGTTACATATATATATATATATATAAATTTGTTCTTTTTTTCTCTCATTCTTAATTTAATATAAAAAAAATGCAACTAATAAATTAGCTTTTTAACTAGAACCAGATGCTGATGTTGTTTCAATGAACGTGGAACACTATTAATTAGAAAATTTATGTTAGATTTTGTTTTTTTTTAAATTCGAAATTAAATTTTATTACTTACTTCGGCAAGAAATTTACGTATACGAGTTGTATAATCATGTGAAAGCCATGTTGTATTATGTTGACCATCAGGAAATATTGTCAATTGTTTTTTTGAACTTTTACATTCCTAATTAAAAAAAAAAATAAATTATGTATATTTATTTTTTTTTTCGAATAGTTTTAAAAAAAAAAATAACTAAATATAATTTAACTTAATTCAAAGAATAATTAGAATATTCTAAATTTTCTAGATGAATTACAAAAAACATGTCAATAAACTGTTAGATATTACTTAAACTATTGATTTTGATTATTTCGATACATAAACATATATGAAATGTAGATATTTTTCTTTTTCTTATTTAGAAATCTTAATATAAATATTGTTAAGATAATTAAAATAAAACAAACTTCATGTAATTTTTCCATCATTTGTGGAGGAACTAATTCATCTTGTCCACCAGAAAGAAAAAGTATTGGTACTTTAATATGTCGAATTTTTGAAAGTGATGAATACTATTATAACAAAAAACAAAAAAAATATACATAGAAAAAAAAAACCAAAGATATACATACAACATTTTTATAGCACCAATTAGGTACATAATCAAGTACAGTAACTTGAAATAATCTTTTAGCCATATCAGGAATTGATGTAAAAGTATTTTCAACAATAATACCATATAATGGTGGTGTTGCATTCATTTGAGCAAGATGTGAAGCTAAATAATATAAATAGTAATAATTTACAAAAAAAATTATATTTTGCTATTTTACCAAGATGTAATGCAACAGCACCACCAAGTGAACGACCAAATAAAAATATTTTTTCTTGATTAAGATCATTACGTTTACGAACATATTGATATACAGCTAATGCATCTGTATAAAGACCTGTTTCCGATGGTGTACCAGTTGATTTACCATAACCACGATAATCAAAAAGAAGAATATTAATATTACATGTTCGATATAAAAGATTTGCATTTTGTAAACTAAATTAAATAGAAAAAACAATTTTTTTTTTTCTTACAGCATAATCGATATTATTAATTTTGAATATGTCACATATAAATCGGTTTAAATTCTTCGAACAATCTGTCTAGAATTCTAATCACTCGATAGATTTTACATAACTCTTTATAGAAACCTGCGGTTTTCAACATATGATAACCACAAGGAGGAAAATGCCGTACTCCCAGATTATGTCATAACTATGCATCAAATCTGTTTAGCTATTTCAAGTCTCTTATCAGCCGAAGTTCAGCCTACGTAAGTCTATCTGACAATAAAGCCTAAATACTTCACTGTACTTCCACTTTGGAAGTACAATAAACTATTTGGGCTTTCGGGTAAGAGTAACTTACGTAAGTTGAACTTCGGCTGATAAGAGACTTGAAATAGCTAAACAGATTTGATGCATAATTATGAATTAGTCTGGAAGTACATCATTTTTGCTTTTTCTCCCTTGGATAATCAAAATTCAGAGACATATTTTTCATTAGTAAAATCTTCTCAAATAGAAAATATTTGAAGATAAGTTTTTCAATGAATTTCTGTAAAGTTATAGTAAGTTTTTAAAAATTATTATAGAAGTTTATTGATTTTTTTTTTCTATGTAGGTATATATCCCACACTTGTCTTTCTCTTCATTGAAGTATGACACTATTATAAACATAGGTTATTGAGTATGGTAAATGTCATGGGAATATTTATTTTTATTGTTCTTATTCAACCATAATTAATATATGGGATATTTTCTTATGAGAAAAAAAAAACAATGATTTTCGAACTCTTTTCACTTGAATAGGATGTGAATGTACATAATTATCAATAGTCCTACTAGTTTACATATTTGTTCGAGTAAAAAAAATGAGGAAATAATTTCAAAAGAAAATATTTGATTGACAAAATTTTATTCAATCTTTAGAAAAACAAATCGAATTCATTTAATATTATATAGAATAAATCGAGTTAATATATATGTATGTTTTTTCTTATTATTAACATACCGATGGCCAATATTGCCAGCATTACCATGAAAAAAAACTAATGTTTCACGTTCATTTGTTCGATTAATTTGTTTAATTAAATATCCATGTAATTTTTCATTATCAGGTGTTTCAATTGTTATTGTTTCATATGGCATATGAAATGTATCAGGTGTTTGAACAATTGTTCGTGCTGTATCTGGTTCATTTGGTTGATAAAGTAAAGCATCTTGAAAACCATATAATGAAGCTAAATAAAAAATGAATTAAGAAGCTATGTTTTTTTTTGTTTTTATTTGAAATTACATACATATTTGTTGTTGTGCATTAGTAAAAAAACTATTTATCGATTGCATGAAATTCATTTAAATAAAAAATATAATAAAAAAAAAATCTATAAATATAAGAATTTTTTTTTTTTGTTTCATAGAATAAATGAAAATTTTCTTGAATTCTATTTGAACGAAAAAAAAAAGAAAAAAAAGAAAAACTTTAATATTTCAATTCCATCCGAAATAAAGCTTTTATACAATCGAACAAAATACATAGGTTTTTTTTTTTTTATTAATAAGCATTAGAAATATTGTTCAAGCACGTTGAGGTCTTTCAGGAATTAGTGATGAAAAAAATGTTGATACAGCTGTAAGTAAAAGACGTGATGTTGTTATTTGATTATCACCAACAGGAGGAGCCGGTGGAGGTGGTGGAGGCTGAATATCAGAAAAAAAAAAACAAATATTAACTTTGTTTTGTTTTTTATTTTATTAAAATATTCATGACTTCTTTCAGTTTAAAAGCGATTAAATAGTTAAGGGACTTAACTTGTAAGCATTTAAGTCATTGTGAAATAGTTATTTGTATTGGATTACTAACACATTGTACAATCTTTAGGTTCAAAAAAAAAAACATTTTACATACACGTTGACGCTCAATATCATTTTGATTTTGAGCTTCATTTGGTACAACTTCAACTTCAGTTTCATCTTCTCCTCCTTGTTCGACATCATTTGCAGCGGCAGCAGCAGGTTGTTCAGGAACAATAGGTACCGGTGGTACTTGTGCACGTCGACGTCTATGTATAGATAAATAACCACGGCAATGTCTAAATAAAGAAATATATATATTAGTTTATAAAAAATAAATAAATAAAACTTACAAATAAAGAAGAGCAAAAATAACAAAAACAACAAGAAAACGACTGAATGTTGAATAAAAATAAATAATCGAACAAAGAACAAATAATTCGACTAACATATTTAACACTCCTAATAGATCATTCTCTTGTTCAGCATCATTATTATTATTTGCTGCTGCTGCTGCTTGTTGTTGTTGTTGTGCTGCTGCTGCTGGTGGTGGTGGAGGAGTAGTATTATTATCAGTAGAAATTGATTGTTGTATTGAACTAGTTGTTGTTGTTGTTGATGAAGGTATTACTGTTCTTTGATATGTAAGTAAATTTTGACTAAATAAAAATAAATATTATTTATTTTTATTATTATTTTATACTTACTACATTTGATAATGTGTATAACAATATTGTAAATAAGCTTGACTTTCATAATTACATATTGGTGAATTTCCATTTGGATTAATTATAAATCTAAATAAATCTTAATAATTAATTATTAATGAAAAAATATAAT